GACGGCCCCACGAGGTCCCCAAGACGGCACAGGAGGCCTTCAAGACGCCCAAGATGGCCTCCAAGATGGCCCTGGAGCATTCCAAGAGGGCCCCAAGTCGGCCCATAGAGGCACCAAAAACAGCTTCCGACGGCGTCAGACGGACCAGAAGCCCACCAAGACGGCCGAACATGGCCCTAAGATGGCCCAAGACGGCCCAAAAGGCCTCCAAGAGGGCCTCCAGGAAGGCCCGCAAAATCCAAAATCATTGATTTGCCATGGGTTTTTGAAGGATTGTGTCATTTGTTGTTTGTCTGCCTTCCGACGGCCCGAGACGGCCCAAGTGCCCCCAAAGATTACCAAAGAGGCCCAAGACACGGCCCCAAGAGGCCCCCAAGACGGCCCAAGAGGTCTCGAAGACGCTCAAGATGGCCTCCAAGACGGCCCAAGAGCCCTCCAAGATGTCCTCCAAGAAGGCCTGAAAGGGTCAAAATGGCCTTCAGACGGCCAAGATGACCTTCAAAGTGCCCACGTGTTCCCCGAAGGCTTTCCAAACCGATTCGGGGAACACATGGTCCGATAGCTTGGCAGGTCTGGCCTCAACGTTCGGCCACATATGAGCTTCCACAAAGACAGGGGGCGGCGGTGATTCGCCGTAGGCGTCTTCGATCCGCCGCCCCCTGTCGATTCATCGCAGGGGTGCCTGGCGCGCTAAACCCTGTCGGTTTTAGTTATGGCTCTTTTTCCAAAAGAGCTCCCCCGGCCACCCGGAGACCCGGTTGCCATCGCCAAAAACGGCCGTTTCGCTCGGGACGTCCTCAACAAATCGCGAAGATGGCCCAAGATGGCCTGCAAAATGCCTCCAAGACAGCCAAGATGACCTCCAAGACGGCTAAGATGGCCCCAAAATGCATCCAAGACTGCCCAAGATGGCCCCAAGATGGTCTAAGACGGCCCAAAAGGCCCGCAAGAGGCCTCCAAGACGGCCCAAGAGGCCTCCAAGAGTTCCTCCAGGAAGGCCCCACGAGGCCAAAATCCTTGACTTTCCTTAGGTCTTTGAAGGATTTTGGCATTTGCGCCTTTTCGGCTTTCCGACGGCCCGTGACGGCCCCAGAGGCCGCCAAGGTCGCCCCAAGATCGCCCAAGAGGCCTCCAAGATGGCCCCATGACGGCCCAAGAGGCCCACAAGACGGCCCCAAGAGGCCCCCAAGACGGCTCAAGAGGCCTCCAAGACGCCCAAGACGGCCTCTAAGACGGCCCTGGAGCACCCCAAGAGGGCCCCAAGTCGGCCCAGAAAGGCCCCCGAAACGGCTTCCGACGGCGTCAGACGGGCCAGGGGCCCACCAAGATAGCCAAAGGTGGCTCGCAGCTGGCCCAAGACGGCCCAGGAGGCCTCCAAGAGGGCCACGAAGAAGGCCCGAAAAGGCCAAAAAGAGTGATTTGCCTTGGGTTTTTGAAAGGTTTTGGCATTTGCTTTTTTTCTGCCTTCCGACGGCCCGAGACGGCCCAAGTGCCCCCAAAAATCGCCCAAGGATCCCCCAAGAGACCTCCAAGATGGCCCCAGAACGGCCCAAGAGGCGCGCAAGACGGCCTCAAGAGGCCCCCAAGACGGCCCAAGAGGCCTCCAAGACGCTCAAGATGGCCTCCAAGACGGCCCAAGAGCCCTCCAAGACGTCCTCCAAGAAGGCCCGAAAGAGTCGAAATGGCCTCCAGGCGGCCAATATGACCTTCAAGATGCCCACGTGTTCCCCGAAGGCTTTCCAAACCGATTCGAGGAACACATGGTCCGATAGCTTGCAACGTTCGGCCACATATGAGCTTCCACAAAGACAGGGGACGGCGGTGATTCGCCGTAGGCGTCTTCGATCCGCCGCCCCCTGTCGATACATCGCAAGGGTGCCCGGCGTGCTGAACCCTCGCGGTTTTGGTTTTGGTTCTTTTTCCAAAAGAACTCCCCTTGGGGCTTCGGCCCGTCCCGCCGGGGTCCCGGGAGATTGCCAGACGGCTCCAAGACGGCCCAAGTTGGTCTCCAAGATGCATCCAAGACGGCCAAGATGGCTTCCAACACGGCTCAGATGGCTCCAAGATGCCTCCAAGACGAGCCAAAATGCACTCAGCAGCACGGCCTAAGATAGCCTCAACATGGCCCCAGACGGCCCAAGAGGCCTCCAAGACGGCCCAAGAGGCCTCCAAGAGGTCCTCCAGAAAGGCCCGAAGAGGCCAAAATCATTGATTTTCCCTGGGTTGTTCCAAGGATTTTGGCATTTGCGCCTTTTCGGCGTTCCGACGGCCCCAGACGGCCCAAGAGGCTCCCAAGATCGCCCAAGAGGCCTCCGAGAGGGCCCCATGACAGCCCAAGTGGCCTCCAAGACAGCCCCAAGAGGGCCCAAGACGGCCCAAGAGGCCTCCAACACGCCCAAGATGGCCTCCAAGACGCCCAAGATGCCCTCCAAGACGGCCCCGAAGCGCCCCAAGAGGGCCCCCAAGTCGGCCCAGAAAGGCCCCCAAGGCGGCCCCAAGAGGGCGTCAGACGTGCCAGGATGGCCGAAGTTGGCTCGAAGCTGGCCCAAGACCGCACAAGAGGCCCCCAAGAGGGCCTCCAGGAAGGCCAGAAGAGGCCAAAAACCTTGATTCTCCTTAGGTGTTTGACGGATTTGGGCATTTGCTTCGTTTCGGCCTTCCGACGGCCCGAGACGGCCCAAGAGCCCCCAAAGATCGCCCAAAGATCGCCCAAGAGGCATCCAAGATGGCCCCAGAATGGCCCAAGAGGGCCCCAAGACGGCCCCAAGAGGCCCCCAAGACGGCACAGGAGGCCTTTAAGACGCCCAATATGGCCTCCAAGACGGCCCTGGAGCATTCCAAGAGGGCCCCAAAATAGAGGCCCCCCAAACGGCTTCCGACGGCGTCCGACGGACCAGGAGCCCACCAAGACGGCCGAACATGGCCCTAAGATGGCCCAAGACGGCCCAAGAGGCCTCCAAGAGGGCCACGAAGAAGGCCCGAAAAGGCCAAAGTCCTTGATTTCCCATGGGTTTTTGATGGATTGTGGCATTTGCTTTTTTTCTGCCTTCCGACGGCCCGAGACGGCCCAAGTGCCCCCAAAAATCGCCCAAGAGGCCCAAGACACGGCCCCAAGAGGCCCCCAAGACGGCCCAAGAGGTCTCGAAGACGCTCAAGATGGCCTCCAAGATGGCCCAAGTGCCCTCCAAGACGTCCTCCAAGAAGGCCCGAAAATGTCAAAATAGCGTCCAGACGGCGAAGATGACCTTCAAGATGCCCACGTGTTCCCCGAAGGCTTTCCAAACCGATTCGGGGAACACATGGTCCGATGGCTTGGCAGGTCTGGCCTCAACGTGCGGCCACATATGCGCTTCCACAAAGACAGGGGACGGCGGTGATTCGCCGTAGGCGTCTTCGATCCGCCGCCCCCTGTCGGCTTGCCACAGGGGTGCCCGGCGTGCTGAACCTTCTCGGTTTTGGTTTGGGTCTTTTCCACAAAAACTGCCCCTGGGGCTTCGGCCTGTCCCGCCGGCCACCCAGAAAGGTGCACAATTTCCAAATGTTTCGCTCAGGATGGACCAAGATGGCCTCCAAGATGGCCACGTTGGCCCAAGATGGCCTCCAAGTTCGCCCAAAATGGCCTCCAAGACGGCCCAGGAGAGGAGGAGATGCCTCCAAACCCGCCCGAGAAACCTCCAAGCCGGCCCAAGACGGTCCAAGAGGTGCCCAAGAGGCCTCCAAGACGGCCCAAGAGGCCTCCGAGAGGTCCTCCAGGAGGGCCCGAAGAGGCTAAAATCACTGATTTTCCATCGGTTTTGAAACGTTTTTCGTATTTACTTGTTTTCGGCTTTCCGACGACCCAAGACGGCCCAAGAGGCCACCAAGATTGCCCCCACAGCGCCCAAGAGGCCCCCAAGACGGCCCCAAGAGGGCACAAAGACGACCCAAGAGGCCTCCAAGACGCCCAAGACGGCCTCTAAGACAGCCCTGGAGCACTCCGAGAGGGCCCCAAGTCGTCCCAGAGAGGCTCCCCAAACGGCTTCCGACGGCGTTAGACGGGCCAGGAGCCCACCAAGATGGCCGAAGTTGGCTCGAAGTTGGCCCAAGACGGCCCAAGAGGCCTTCAAGAGGGCCTACAGGAAGGCCAGACAAAAGGCCGAAAACATTAGTTTGTCGTAGGTTTGTTGCGGATTTTGACATTTGCTTCTTGTCGGCCTTCCGACGGCCCGAGAGCCCCCAAATATCGCCCGAAGATCGCCCAGGAGGCCTCCAAGATGGCCCCAGAACGGCCCAAGAAACCCCCAAGACGGCCCCAAGAGGCCTACAAGATGGCTTCCAAGACGGCCCTGGAGCATTCCAAGAGGGCCTCAGGTCGGCCCAAAGAGGCCCCCCTAACGGCTTCCGACCGCGTCGGACGGGCCAGGAGCCCACAAAACGGCCGAACATGGCCCTAAGATGGCCCGAGACGGCCCAAGAGGCCTCCAAGATGGCCTCCAGGAAGGTCCGCAAAGGCCAAAATCATTGATTTCCCATGGGTTTTTGATGGATTGTCATTTGCTGTTTGTCGGCCGTCCGACGGCCCGAGACGGCCCGAGTACCCCCAAAGATCGCCCAATAGGCCCAAGACACGGCCCCAACAGGCCCCCAAGACGGCCCAAGAGGCCTCCAAGACGCTCAAGATGACCTCCAAGACTGCCCAAGAGCCCTCCAAGACGTCCTCCAAGAAGGCCCGAAAGAGTCGAAATTGCCTCCTTCAAGATGCCCAGGTGTTCCCCGAAGGCTTTCCAAACCGATTCGGGGAACACATGGTCCGATCGAATGGCAGGTCTGGCCTCAACGTTCGGCCACATAGGCGCTTCCAAAAAGGCAGGGGGCGGTGGTGATTCGCCGTAGGCGTCTTCGATCATCGGGCTCAGAAAAATGAATTGGGCTGGAGGGGAAGGAAGGGGGGCAGCAGCAACCGAAGTAATGTGGTAAGCGAAATGGTAGGTGGGATGGCGAAACGAGCAAGGAGAGACGGATGGATGACGAGGGAGCGGAGACGGATGCACCGCGTGGCCCTCCTCGGAACAACGGAACAACACCGCACCCTCTCGGATGCCGAAAGCACCGCGCGGCTCGGACAAATCTCGCGTCCACTCGGATGCCCTCGCGGGGGTCATGCGCTCAGGCCCCGCAGCGGTCCGCTGCCGCTTTCTCATGTGAACTGCGAACTGGCCAAAGGCCGCACTCTCGTATAAGTGGAATTGCGCGCCGAGCACATCCAAGCTCAGAGCGCATAGAGGCCTCCTAGATGGGGTCGGAGTAGACGTGGTCGGAAGATCGCGCCGCATCGGCGATTCATCGGCGATGCTCCGCCCGCGACGCATCGTCGACGTCGACGAGGCATCGGCGCCATCGACGTGAAGCAAATCGGGCTGCACATCGAGCCGCATCAACAATGCATCGGCGATGCGGTGCGATCCTCCGACCCCATCTACTCCGACCCTATCTAGGAGGCCTAGGGCGCAACCACATGCGTTGATTGGAGCTGGTCTTGCAAGGTGCTGACTGACTTGCACGACAGGCAACGGACTGCTTCTCGGTCGCGCCACGCCGTGCCACCCGCCGCGCTGGCCTACGCAGGCCGCCGGGCCAGAAAATCCATCCTGGGGATCCGCGATGGGGCGGTTTCAGAGATCTTCTGATCCGGGTCAATCCAGACCATGGTCAGTCAGGCCTTGCACAATCCTGCAAAGTTCTGCAAGATCCTACGCCCAAACCAGGGTCAATGGGAAAGATCCTGCAAGATCCTGCAGGATCCTACACCCAAACCCAGGTCAATGCGACCCTGGCCCTGAAAGATCCTGCAAGATCGTGCGCTCTGGCTGACCCCCGTTTGAATTGATCCCCGTCTCTTGAGCCCCGAGGGTTCGCAAAGCAACCCTTGCCGGTCCCCTGCGCGATCCTTGACGGGAAGGGGGGGAGGGGGGCCAGGACGGGGGGAGGCAATGGGGGGGAGGAAGTGGGAGGCAAGAGAGGAAGGAGAGGGAAGGGGGAAGAGGGGAAAGGGGAATGAGAAGGGAGGGTCCCGACTGGGACCGGAACTGGGGGCCGGCTAGGGGGAGAGACCTGGGTCGTACTGACCAAACACATCATCCTTCAACGCCCACATCGAAGAACAGGAAACCGAAGCGGCGTCGCCAGGAAATCAGCCGCACCAGTGGTACCGCAGGGCGCCTACTTGGAGCATTTCGGCAAACGGACCACTTTGGTACCGCCCAGCCAAAACGATCGAACCCACAACCAACTTCTGGTGTCGCGGGTTCCCTAAACACACACAACCCAAACAACCCTCAGAGCAGAAGAGTCAACCAAAACACGGACCCAGGCAAGGCGAGCTCGGTCCTGGCTACGAAGGGCGCGGGGACGGCGGCTACGCGGGGAAACCCCGTGGCCAGGCACAGATGACGGGACGAACCCGCCAACGAAACTGCCCCCGAACGGTCGGGGGAACCCGCCGCGGGCGGTGCAGAAACACCAGCACGGACAGCGCAGCAAACAACATGAGCTTGCCGACGCCACAAGAGCCAATGCTCCACTTTCTGCTGCTTTCCCAGCGGCACCTCCTCACAACGCACATGTCAGCAAGGGGATGTTAGGGAGTATTCACCCCGTCCCGCCATGGCCCAAGCCACCGCCGAACGACATAGGGACGCTCAAGGAATCGCACACCGAGCCCGACCATGGCCGAAAACACCGCCGAACGACCATAGGATAACCGAACATGGTTCGCCTTGACCACGGGCGTCATCGTTCTTCATCCCCGCCCTCCCCCAGGAGAAAAAACCGAAGACCCAGCCGCCCCAGGACAGATGTTGGACAACGAGGGGTGCACGCCCGCACCCCCGACCGGAGAGCATCGACCAGGAATGGGCCACGCCTGGAACGCGAGGGCCCAACGCCAACAGACAGTAGGCCTGTTCTTCCAGAGGCCCGAGAGGGGGGCTCTCCCAAGGGGGACTGGGTTAGCCTTAAGTCGGGCCTGTCCCTCTACAGGGGAATATTCAAAAATAGCAAAATTATCCCGGCAAAGCAACCTAACATCGATGTGTAGGAGCATATCTGGAAGCATTCCCCTTAAGATTCGGATGAGAATCCAGTTGTAGAATTCTGCTGTTCTCGCAGTCGTAGTCGCATTCGCGATGACAGTCGCAGTGGCAACGGCAGTCGCAGTCACAGCCTCAGCCTCAGCCTGCCTCAGCCTCAGCCTCAGCCTGCCTCAGCCTCAGCCTGCCTCAGCCTCAGCCTCAGCCTGCTTCAGCCTCAGCCTCAGTCTGCCTTCAGCCTCGGCCTCAGCCTCAGCCTGCCTCAGCCTCAGCCTGCATCAGCCTCAGCCTCAGCCTCAGCCTGCCTCAGCATCAGCCTGCCTCAGCCTCAGCCTCAGCCTGCCTCAGCCTCAGCCTCAGCCTGCTTCAGCCTCAGCCTCAGTCTGCCTTCAGCCTCGGCCTCAGCCTCAGCCTGCCTCAGCCTCAGCCCTCAGCCTCAGCCTCAGCCTGCCTCAGCCTCAGCCTCAGCCTGCCTCAGCCTCAGCCTGCCTCAGCCTCAGCCTCAGCCTGCTTCAGCCTCAGCCTCAGTCTGCCTTCAGCCTCGGCCTCAGCCTCAGCCTGCCTCAGCCTCAGCCTGCATCAGCCTCAGCCTCAGCCTCAGCCTGCCTCAGCATCAGCCTGCCTCAGCCTCAGCCTCAGCCTGCCTCAGCCTCAGCCTCAGCCTGCTTCAGCCTCAGCCTCAGTCTGCCTTCAGCCTCGGCCTCAGCCTCAGCCTGCCTCAGCCTCAGCCTGCCTCAGCCTCAGCCTCAGCCTGCCTCAGCCTCAGCCTCAGCCTGCTTCAGCCTCAGCCTCAGTCTGCCTTCAGCCTCCGCCTCAGCCTCAGCCTGCCGCAGCCTCAGCCTGCCTCAGCTCAGCCTTAGCCTCAGCCTGCCTCAGCCTGAGCCTCAGCCTCAGCCTCAGCCTGCCTCAGCCTCAGCCTCAGCCTGCTTCAGCCTCAGCCTCAGTCTGCCTTCAGCCTCGGCCTCAGCCTCAGGCTGCCTCAGCCTCAGCCTGCATCAGCCTCAGCCTCAGCCTCAGCCTGCCTCAGCATCAGCCTGCCTCAGCCTCAGCCTCAGCCTGCCTCAGCCTCAGCCTCAGCCTGCTTCAGCCTCAGCCTCAGTCTGCCTTCAGCCTCGGCCTCAGCCTCAGCCTGCCTCAGCCTCAGCCTGCATCAGCCTCAGCCTCAGCCTGCCTCAGCATCAGCCTGCCTCAGCCTCAGCCTCAGCCTGCCTCAGCCTCAGCCTCAGCCTCAGCCTGCTTCAGCCTCAGCCTCAGTCTGCCTTCAGCCTCGGCCTCAGCCTCAGCCTGCCTCAGCCTCAGCCTGCATCAGCCTCAGCCTCAGCCTCAGCCTGCATCAGCATCAGCCTGCCTCAGCCTCAGCCTCAGCCTGCCTCAGCCTCAGCCTCAGCCTGCTTCAGCCTCAGCCTCAGCCTGCCTTCAGCCTCGGCCTCCGCCTCAGCCTGCCTCAGCCTCTGCCTCAGCCTCAGCCTCAGCCTCAGCCTCAGCCTCAGCCTCAGCCTCAGCCTGCCTCAGCATCAGCCTGCCTCAGCCTCAGCCTCAGCCTGCCTCAGCCTCAGCCTCAGCCTCAGCCTCAGCCTGCTTCAGCCTCAGCCTCAGTCTGCCTTCAGCCTCGGCCTCAGCCTCAGCCTGCCTCAGCCTCAGCCTGCATCAGCCTCAGCCTCAGCCTCAGCCTGCCTCAGCATCATCAGCCTCAGCCTCAGCCTGCCTCAGCCTCAGCCTCAGCCTGCTTCAGCCTCAGCCTCAGTCTGCCTTCAGCCTCGGCCTCAGCCTCAGCCTGCCTCAGCCTCAGCCTGCCTCAGCCTCAGCATCAGCCTGCCTCAGCATTCAAAATGTGGCCCGGGAATGGAGTTCTGGGAACTCGAAGAACACGAAGTGGCCTACAGTTGGCTCCGGGCATTCAAAATCATGCCCAGGAATGGAGTTCTGGGAACTCGAAGACCACGAAGTGGCCTACAGTTGGCTCCGGGCATCCAAAATGTGGCCCGGGAATGGAGTTCTGGGAACTCGAAGACACGAAGTGGCCTACAGTTGGCTCCGGGCATCCAAAATGTGGCCCGGGAATGGAGTTCTGGGAACTCGAAGAGCACGAAGTGGCCTACAGTTGGCTCCGGGCATCCAAAATGTGGCCCGGGAATGGAGTTCTGGGAATCGAAGAGCACGAAGTGGCCTACAGTTGGCTCCGGGCATCCAAAATGTGGCCCGGGAATGGAGTTCTGGGAAATCGAAGAGCACGAAGTGTGTGACTGTATGCGAAAAACGATCCCCCGGCAAACCCCAACGGCCCCCCAACTGCCACCCAACTACCCCCAACGGCTGCCCAGACCCCCCTGTGGAGTAATGTTGAAGTAATGTTGAAGTAATGTGCTGCTCTCTTTTTACCCCACTAGAAACCTACCAGTCTTCGATGTTAGGTAAAAATGTACGGGGACTATTTTTTGAATATTTTCTGACCATTTTGGAAGATGATTGGAATATTGTCTTTTATATCTTTCGTCGAAACTCCCCCTGTAGGGGGACACGCCCGACTCAAGGTTAGCCGTGTCCTCTCTTTCCACCTCCTGTCCCTGACCACGCATGCCACAGACACCGAAAAACAAGAGCCGACACCAGAGCGGCGGAGGCGACGGACGAGCCACTCCACGCAGGTTAGAGTGAGGGCTGCCGACCCGCCGCGGTCGATGGCCCCCTCTCACCCCCGCCACGGTAGGGGGAACAAGTCAGTGGACACTCCCCCGTTCCCCCCCCAAACTCGAAGTTGGCACGCGCGGGGGAGGCTGCGGTCGAAGTGGAACTCATCAGACCCACCGCCAACTTTGAACGTCGCGGGGAGGTGGAGGCGTTGACCGATGAAGGTGGCATGCCTTTTCGCTATGTTTCCGAAGCCTGCATGATTATCCCTTCGCGCACCGCCTATGCAAGGATGGGGCCGAGTGCTCCAGGACAGGGGCACGTTGCCCCAGGTGCGGCCGAGGCCGCTCGCGACTTTCAAAGAATCTGAACACTTTGGTTGCCTCCTGACGCCATCCGCGAGCGCGCCTGTTGTTTTTCAGCCACCAGGCCACCAGGCAAGGGGGGGGCATGGCATCGGTGAAGTGTCAATGCTGGTGGGGTGGAGATCGGAGTCCCCGGGGCAGACGGCTCTGTTCTGTATCTGCACGCCGCAGCTTGCGTCTGCGATGCTGGGCACGAAGAGGCGCACATCTGGTGCCAGTGCCGTAAGCCAAGGCGGCGGCGGAAACGCAAGCGCATGGCCTTCCCCTCGGAGTCTCCCTTCAAAGTTGGAGGTGAAGTAGACGCCTCGTAACCGCCACCAACTTGGTATATCCTCGCGGCTGCAGACCCCCTTGGTCGGGCCACCAGGCTGTAGGCCGAAGTGTGCTGCTCCCTGCGCCAGTTGCAAGTTCAAGTCTCCAATGGTACAGTCCTGCTTTCTGCTTCCTAGTGCAGATTGTTGAAATCCACAAGAGGGGGGGGAGCCCCAAGCCAGCCGTTTACCTCGCCCGGATCTCGATCCCTGAATTCCCGGGGGGGCGTGGGATATACGTAAGGATACGGGAGGTTTGCGCCCCCGAGGCCACAATCCCTCGTAAAG